CTGCCATGAATGGATCTTATGCACCTGCCATAGGCTAAGCATTTATGCTATTGACTGCTCACAGTAGCTTTATGATGTGGATGTGATTATTATTCCCATTTCACAGATGAAGAAACTGAGGCTCAAGGGGTTAAGCTGTTCGCTCAAGGTCACATGCAGCTATCAAGGGGTAGAGTTAAGTTCTGAACCCAAGAGGTCTGACTCCACTATTCACCACTGCCTGACTTTTCTGGAGGTCACAGTTTCTCTGTCCTTGTACCTACCCTCCTTCTACACTGCTCCATGTCTCCATGTCCCTGTTATTAATGCTCTTTCTCCTCCCCCACGCCAAGAATCTCACAATCTCTGCCCAAGCTGAGGTTTTTCAGAGTTCTCTGGGTCTCCATCCTCTAGAGGATGCTGTCAGGCCCTGCTGCCCCTAGTTGAGCATGTGTCCCACATTCCTTGCCCCCTTGGCAGCTCAGTCAGAATCTCTCTCTCTCTCTCTTTTTAAAGATTTTTCTGTATTTCTTTCTTTCTCGCTTTCTCTGAAAGGAAAAAAAAAAAAGAAAGGAAGGAAGGAAGAAAGAAGAAAGAAAGAAAGAAAGAAAGAAAAAAAGAAAATGAAAGAAAGAAAGAAAGAAAGAAAGAAAGAAAGAAAGAAAGAAAGAAAGAAAGAAGAAAGAAAAGAAAGAAAAAGAGAGCACAAGCAAGGGGAGGGGCAGAGGGAGAAGGAGAGAGAGAATCTCCAGCAGACTCTGTGCTGACCACAGAGCCCAATGCAGAGCGCCTGAGTGGCTCAGTGGGTTAAGCATCCGACTCTTGATTTCAGCTCAGGTTTGGTCTCAGGGTCGTGGGATTGAGCCCCGTGTCAGGCTCCATGCTCAGTGGTGAGTCTGCTGGAGATTCCCTCCCTCTCCCTCTCCCTCTGCCCCTCCCCTTCTGAAATAAATAAAATCTTAAAAAAAAAAAGAGTCAGATGCTTAACCCACTGAGCCACCCAGGCACCTCTCAGAATCAGAATCTCTTGGGCGCCTGGGTGGCTCAGATGGTTAGGCGTCTGCCTTTGGCTCAGGTCATGATCCCAGGGTCCTGGGATCGAGTCCCGCATTGGGCTCCCTGCTCCTTGGGAGCCTGCTTCTCCCTCTGCCTCTCTCTCTCTTTCTCTCTGTCTTTCATGAATAAATAAAAAAAAAAAAAGAATCAGAATCTCTTGACAGTGTCAGGTCACTGAGGTCAAGGGAGTCTTTGAAGAGTGAGAGCTGCCAAGGGGCGCCTGGCTGCCTCAGTCAGTACAGCATGTGACTCTTAATCTCAGGGTTGTGAGTTTGAGACCCACATTGGATGGGGAGCCTATTTGAAATTAAAAAAAAAAAAATGAGAGCTGCCAAGTAAGGGTAGAACTTGGGAGGGGGCCGTTGGAATCAGCAATAAGATCTCAGGTGTCTTTGGTGGGTGCAGAGGCAGAAGTACTAAAGCCAAACCAGAGAGATGCTCTAGCTACAGTAGCGTTTCATACTTACCATGTGCTATTCTGAGCACTTTATAAATATTAATTCATTCATTATTCACAACAACTCTATGAGAAAGGTATTATCCTATTTCCCTATGGGGAACTTAAACACAGAAATGTTTAACGTTTTGCCCAAGGTCACAAAGGTAATTCACAGTGTTCAGATTTGAAAATCTGGGCAGTCTGGCTCCCAGACTCCATGCTGTAAACTGCCAAGCCATATAGCCAACTCCGGGCTGTGAGGAGGGGAGAGGGCCATGGGCGGTTAGGACCAGAAGAGAGTGAGAGGCAAGAACTGGAGGACAGATAAAGGGTGGAGTAAATGATTTACAGGTGGAGTGGTTCCCTCTCCTGGACCATAAACCAAAGGGACCTGTCAGCAGCTGGGAAGGGAGATAAGGTGACTCAGGAGGGAAGGGCTGGGTGGGGACTGCGGACTCCCCTTCCTGGAGTGAGGCTTTGACTCCTGTACCTTTATCCATGGTTCTGTGGGAAACTCGCAGCCCGGTGATCCAGAGTGTTGGTAACAGGCAGGAGGGTGAGGGCCACAAAAGCAGATGGGGGGCGATGAGTGAAATGCAGCAGCCTGGGTTGTCCTCAAGGAAGCTCCCAGGATCTCAGGGCCTAAGCTCCTCCAGTCCCAGGCCTGGCCCCCCAGGTACAAGACTCTTTAAGTGGTATGCAGCCCAGAATGCTCTAGAAAAGCCACAGATCAGAGCTTGGGATGGGTTGCATGGCCATGATGGCTGAGGCCCCAGAGCTGTATCTCACCCTCCCCAGGAGAGAGGTCCTGGGTCTTCCAGACCTCTGAGACACATGCGCATGCACACACACACACACACACAGTCCAGTTCTTTCCTCATATTGACATCTCACCTGGCTCACCTGGGGCCCGGAAAGAGAACATGACTCTTCTGGCCATGAGTAGTTTTCCAGACCTTGTTCATCCAGGAGGTTTCTCAGAAAAAAAGGGAAAGGAGGGCCAGATGTCTTTCAGGTGAAAAGGGAAAAAACTAAAAAGAAAGAAAAGAAAGGAAAAGCAAAGCAAAGCTTGCCTGGGCTCAAGTCCTCCCCAGCTCTATTGAGATGAGTCAGATACAATCCTGTCCTCAAGGGCCACACTGGCTGGAGGGCAGATGAGCCCCGCAGACAGGTCACTGCCCAGTGCGATTTGCTGCTCTAAGACAGGAAACCTGGAGGGAGGGGGCAGGGGGAAGATCATGGAAAGCTTCCCTGAGGACGCTCTGAGCCGGACCTTGCAGAAGCAGTGAAAAGGAGCTAGGCCAGAGGCTGGTGATGGGAGCAGAGGTGGGAGCATCTCAGAATGCCTTGAGTACCCTACTGAAAAGCCAGGACCTGGCACTGTTTGGCTTGGGGACAGGCCGGAAAGGCTTCAGGGGAAAGGTCTCTGCCTCTTCATCTGCGAAGGAGTAGGTGGAAACTAAAGGGAACAGACTTGGCTCTTTGTGGCAATAGCAGCCCAGGCTAAATGCCTGCAGTGCTCCAGACGCTGGATACTGTTTCTTTGAATAATCCCAATTGCCCTGTGTGGAAGGTGTTATTGATCTTGTTTTGTAGAGGAGGAAACTGAGGTTCAGAGAGATGAGGTAACTTGTACAAGGCTACAGAGAGCTAGAATTCAAACCCAGGTTTGTCTGACTCCCAAGCTTTTGCTCCTACCACCTCTCCATGCTTCCTGTCTTTAGGAAACGCTTGCGGGTGAGAATCAGCTCACAGTGTGGGGGGAAAGAGCTTCCCAAAACAGGTCAGAAGTGGGACCACCACTCCTGGGGTTTTGTGGGTGATCTCAGCACTGGGTAGGTAATTGAGCTGGTGCCTCAAATATTATTTCCTCTGTTCGAAAGAGGAAGAAACTGAGGCCTAGAAGCAGAAATGGCCACTCAGGATGCTAGATACCCTTAGGAGTCAAGATGCTGGACACAGGGCTGAGGGAGGTCTGCATCCCTAGGCCTGAGTCCCAGACCTGTGGCCTTGTCAGTCCTGTGGAATAGGGATGGGGAATGGTCAAGCCAAGCCCCCCAGAGCCTGGACCAGAAGCCTAGCTGTGTGGCCAGTGCACAGGACCCTGGTCCCAGGGCTCAAGGCCTTGTTTAGCCCCAGTTGGGCCACTTCCAGCCTTTGGAGTTGTGAAACTGAACAAAGGAAACATTTAAAATAGAATCCGGTTGCCAGAATGGGGGGAGTTCTCACACACTACCAATTTGTCCTCAATTGCAGACCCCAGCAGGAAGAAGCATACCTTGCATTTTCCAACTGGAAAGGACCTACTTTACTACCCCCTGCAAGAGGGAGACTTTTTCCTTGTAGAGCAAGAGTCCAGCCAATGAGAAGTTGTCACAACTCAGCCAATGAGAAAACATCACCAACCTGGACTTTTGCTCAAAGTAGCCCCCACTCAACTTCCCTTTTCTTTCCTCTATATAATAACATTCCCCTCCTTTGTTCTCTGGACTTGCCTAGGGTTTGCTGTAGCTTGCATATCCGCATATCCTGAATTGCAATTCCTCTGTTTTTGAATAAGCCCATTTTGCTGGTAAAATAACTGGCTGTTTTATTTACAAGCTCCACCAACCAAGTCCATCAACTCAGGCTTCGAATCCTGCCTTCGATGACCTTGAACAAGGTCATTTACCCCTTGGAGCCTCATCTGTAAATGGGGATGTTTCCTGCCCCATGGAGTTGAGATGATTCCATGAGACGCTGATATAGCAGTGCCTTTGGTACAGTGTCCTCAGTCAGTGCTCTGTGATCAGTAGCTGTTAGGATTATAACAATTTATCATCATGCATCTGTCTTCTCACCTGGAGCGTGGGACAGTAATCCCAGTCAACCTGGTTTCAAGGACATGACGTCATCTGTGTGAGTTGTAGGGTCAGTGCAGATGGCACTTCTGCCACCCAAAGCCAAGCCCAGCCCTGCAGGGGTAGGGAGACACATCTAGTTCCCAGGACCAGGGGAAGCTGGGTGACAGCCTCAATCCATCAATCACAACCTCGGGCCAGCTAAGCTTTATGGGTCCAGCAGATATTTAAGTGCATGTGGTGTGTGGGCTAGTCCAGTTCTGCTTCCTCAGCACGGGCCGCTGCCCAGAGCAGGTAGGCCGGTGTCACTGGGAGGTGGCAGTACCCAGGGCCTTGGGAGAGCAGCTGTCAGCAAGACCCCAGCAGGTAGTATAGTAGGTTTGGGCAAGAGTTGGATCTTCTGTCCTCAGGAGTTGTGCTCTGGTTCCTTCTGGCCCTGCGAGTGGAAGAGGATCTCGGGGAAGGCTCTTGCATGAGAGCTTATAGATCTAAGCTCCCCTAGGCCCATCCCGTCCTGGCTTGACCCACGTACCACTGAGTTCTGGAGGGGGTGGGGGGGTGCTTTGTCTGCTCTGAAGCTTCTTCCCCTTGTCTACTGACACAGGGTGAAGGCTGGGTGTGCGTGACCAGAGTTGAAGGGAGGGTGCCTGGGCAAGCTATGGAAAAGGTTTGCTGGGAAAGAGGGACAGCTCTGGGGGCAGCTCATGTGACCTCCCACCCAGGATCCCAGCACCATGACGGTTTCATACACCCTCAAAGTGGCAGAGGCTCGCCTCGGAGGCTTCTCCAGCTTGCTTCTCCGCTGGAGGGGAAGCATCTACAAGCTCCTCTACAAAGAATTCCTCCTCTTCATTGCCCTGTATGCTCTGCTCAGCATCATCTACCGGTGAGGGTGAGGTCTCAGGGCTGGCCTGGGGTGGGGTGGGCGCTCGGCTGCCCACTTCCCTCTAACCCAGGCTTACAACTGACCTTCCTCAGGCTCCTGCTGACCCAGGAGCAGAGGCATGTGTATGCTCAGGTGGCCCGATACTGTAATCGTTCTGCAGATCTCATCCCCTTATCCTTTGTACTGGGTAAGGCTCCCTCTAATTCTCCCTGGTATCCTTCTGACCATCTTCCCTGACCTTTGGGTTGAGGTGATAGCTCCGAGGGTCAAAGTTACCCCAGCAGCACAGCCTACAGGTCAACCAGAGCAGGCTCAGCAGGCATGGGACTTGCGTCTGGGGTCCAGGATTTCCAGACAGCTAGACCCTGCCTGTCAGTTGTTGGACCCTCACTCCACCAAGGGACAAGACACCTGCTGGCTTCAAAATCCCACTCTGTGTCCTGGAGAGGAGCTGGAGAGAGGTGACACCCCCTTTCCACCTTCATGGGAAGCAGGGCTCAGAATTAGCCATTACTTGACCACTTCTCTGCAGGAGGAGGTTTGCACTCCTCCATCCTCCAAGCCTGGCTTAGCAAGGCAGAGGTTTTACGAAGAGGCGTTCCCCCTGACAGCGACGCAGGGCACGGAAACCAAAGGTGTCCTTCTCCCTGCTTTGGTTCAGCCTCGCCTGGACCAGGAGCTCCGGCTGGGGGGCAGGGCATGCTGACTCCTGGGCTCTCCATCTTCCCTTCCCGTCTCCTCTTCCATGGCGGCCGATCAGGTTTCTACGTGACCCTGGTGGTGAACCGCTGGTGGGCCCAGTATACAAGCATCCCGCTGCCAGACCAGCTGATGTGCGTCATCTCGGCCAGCGTGCATGGTGTAGACCAGCGTGGCCGCCTGCTGCGCCGCACCCTCATCCGCTATGCCAACCTGGCGTCCGTGCTGGTGCTGCGCTCGGTCAGCACCCGCGTGCTCAAGCGCTTCCCCACCATGGAGCACGTGGTGGACGCAGGTGCGGACAGGCGCCCCTGGGCTCAGCCTGGCCAACGCAGGCGCCACGCTGGGGAGCCCGGGGGCGGCCCCCCGGGGGCCAGGACCAGAACATGGGCCTCCTGGGAGGGGAGGTCGAACCCCCGAGGGGCATGTCCTAGCGGCAGGGGAGGTGTCTGCGCCCCCACTCACTGTATCTCCTCAGGTTTCATGTCCCAGGAAGAGAGGAAAAAGTTTGAGAGCCTGAAATCCGATTTCAACAAGTACTGGATCCCCTGTGTCTGGTTTACCAACCTGGCCGCCCAGGCCCGGAGGGATGGGCGGATCCGTGATGACATTGCTCTCTGTCTGCTGCTGGAAGTGAGTCGGCTCCAGACCAGGCCTGTCTGACCTCCCTGGCTTTGCAAACTGGAATAATAATTTTAGTACTTAGCACTTAGATGGTGTCAACAACTGTGTACAGCACACAGTTGGAAGCACTGTACATACATTAACTCATTTGGCCTGCACAACAGCCCTTGGGACATCATTACCATCCGTCTTTCACAGGCGAAAACCTGAGGCAGAGTGGAAAAGAAACTTGCCCAAGTTACACAGCTAGTCAGGGGAGCTGGGACTCAGGCTGGTTCCACAGTCTGTGCTCACAGCTATTTTGCTAGGCTGCTTCCCATCACGCCACCCCCGCACGATAACACCCCTGACAGCAGAATGGGTCTCTAGGCCGAGTTTGTGTTGGGCTCCCCTGTTCTTTCCCCATTCTTCCCTCCTCTCCTCCACTGACATCCTCTTCCTGCTTTTCCCCCAGGAGCTGAACAAGTACCGGGCCAAATGCAGCATGCTATTCCACTATGACTGGATCAGCATCCCTCTCGTCTACACCCAAGTAACTGCCTCTCCCCTCTCCCGTCCCACTGCCTACTGCATGTCCTGTGCTGCATGTGACACAGAGAATTAAAGATGGTACCTGCCCTGGGGCAGTGCAGTCCAGAGAGACACTGAACAACCAAGGGCTCATCCTCAAAGCATCCCCAGACCCCCCCCAGACGCCCCCATCCCCTCTGATGCTACCACACGTTTACTTCCTTGTCAGATTCCTTCACTGGCCCTCAGGGTCATGGAGGGCATTTCTCCCTGTCTTACTCAGCCAGGCTTCCTTCTCCAGGTGGTGACCATAGCGGTATATTCCTTCTTTGCCCTCTCCCTGGTTGGCCGCCAGTTTGTGGAGCCTGAGGCAGGGCGGGCCAAACCTCAGGAGCTTTTAGAGCCGGGCCAGGAGGCGGCGTCCACCATGGGGGACCTGGACATGTATGTGCCTCTCACTACTCTGCTGCAGTTCTTCTTCTATGCTGGCTGGCTCAAGGTGGGCACATAGGCCGGTCATACCAGCTTGCTCTGTAGAGATGTGGGCCCAGGGCCCACCTCACCTTTGGGGACAGAGAATGGGGCTCTGAGCCCAGAAAACACTGCCTTACAACCTGTAGGTGGCGGAACAGATTATCAACCCCTTTGGTGAGGATGATGACGACTTTGAGACCAACCAGCTCATAGACCGCAACTTGCAGGTGGGCAGGGGTCTGGGGGCAGGGCCTTGTGCTTTCCTCCTTGCCAGTGCTGGGCCTGGATGTGGAGAGGAGACAGGGGATCCTCATGGCTTGCTGCCTGCCCCAGGTGTCTCTGTTAGCCGTGGACGACATGTACCAGAACCTGCCTCCCGCCGAGAAAGACCTGTACTGGGACGAAGACTCCGCGCAGCCGCCCTACACGGTGGCCACGGCGGCCGAGGCTCTGCGGCCTTCCTTCCTGGGCTCCACCTTCAACCTTCGGTGAGCGGCCTGCGCTGGTGGAGGCAGGGCTTGACCCCAGGTCCTCACCACCGCTCTGGGGGCGCCAATGACTCCGTCGCCTCTGCTCCCCGCCCTCTCGGGAAAGCCAGCCCTGGGGTGGCCCTGGCGCCAGGCTCGCTCAGCCCGCCTTCCCGCCCGCAGCGTGAGCGATGACCCCGAGCAGAGCATGCAGGTGGAGGCGTCCCCAGGGTCCGCTCGGCCGCTGCCTGCCTCGCAGACCCCGCTGCTCGGCCGCTTCCTGACTGCGGGAGCACCCTCCCCGGCCATCAGCCTCAGGACCTTCGGCCGCGTAAGAGGAGCCCCCTGGACCCCGCGTGTGTCGCGCTTACGAGCGGAGGAGAGTGGCGACCCCGAGGCCGCGGACCGCATTGAGGAGGCGTCAGTGCGGTCAGAGGACGAGGCCGGGGAGCCCTGATCGGAGGCTGCCGGGCACAGGCCGTCCTGCCCGCCTGCCCCAGGCCTACCTCGTCTCACTTTCCCAACCCACTGCTGACCTCCGGCGCTATTAGAGCGCTTGCTGTGTCGCTTGCTCTGTCCTGAGCCAGAGAATTCAGGGACGGACCTTGAAGGGGCAAGATGGCGGGGCCGGCGTTGGGGCTGGGAATATGCCCATTTTGGCAGGAGAAGGTAGGATGGCTTGCTTGGGGAAGGTGAGGCTGGGATAAATGGGCGGGGCCTAGGGGACAAGAACCCAGATGCATTGTTAATTTCCTGGGCAATAGGTTGCTGGCGCGGTCTCAAACCTGCAGGAGCATCAGCAGCACTAAAGGGCCTGTTCAGAATAGTTCTGGGTGCCACTCCAGAGCTTCTGATTCATTAGATCTGGGATGGAACTCAAGAATTTGCATTTTTAGGGAAGTTCCCAGGTGATGGTGCTGCTGCTGGCCCAGGCATCACAATTTGAGTCCTTTATAAAAAGATGTTGAGGATATACCTTACCCTGATAATCTTACTCTGAAGAGGGATCAGAGTGTGTGTGCTGGGGAACTTTTGCTTTACCTGTAATATTCAACTTTTTATTTACAATGAGAATATAATCGTTTATTACTTGTGCAATTACAGTTGTTTAAGTTGGCATGCTGTGAAGTGGGATAAAGATAATATGGTAAAAGCTTGGGAATCTGTCCTGGAGGCTGATCCAACTCAGATGTGAAGGCAGTTGTACACCACCCAGCCTAGACCTTGGGTGGGCGTTTGGACTTCTGAGTGCCTCACCCTTTTCTGCTCCCACCAGCTGAACAGGAGAAAGCACGATTTATGGGGTGAAAGCTGTGAGTCCAGCTCTGTGGCAGGCCTGCAGTGTTGGGGGGCACCAGCCTCTTGGAGCATAGATCGTGTTGACTGAACTGAGCTCCACTCTGCAAGTTCAGCCCCCACCAAGGAAATTGGTGACTGCCAAAACGGAGTCTTAAAATCAAAGGATGGGACTGATGACAGGACTCAGAGGGAAGAAACAAGGGTGTAGTCGAGGTTGAGTGCAGCCTCTGACATCTGGACATCTGAGGCTGGCTTTGCTACTTTCCTGCTGGGCCACCATGGGTTACAGGCTACCTAAGCCTAGATCTCAAAGTCTAGAGACAAAAGCACCCCAACATAGCCATTCATGTAGGTGTCTGAGATTTTCCATAGGGTTAGCAGGAATTAGCCTTGCTTCAGGGCAAGAATGGTCAGCTGAAGGCTTTGGGAATGAATAGAGGATGAATCCAAGACTAAACACACTGGTTCTAGTCACAGATTAGAGGTAGAGTTAAGGGGAGATATAACCTTGTAGAGCTCAAATTAGGAAATAAAGGCAAAGTGTCTAGTGTGGCTTTGCTACAACTGACCCATACTGTAAACAGCTGAAATTATGGTGCTGCATTAAGATAACCACTGGATGGAAGGAAAAGTGGGTTACAGGCCTCCCAGAGCCAATGGTAAGGTTTGAGAAGGCTGGGTTGCTTTTTCTATGTCCTAAAGTTTTTGTACTCAAAAGGGGGGGGATCATCTCCTAGTTCTTCTTTCCCTATTGTCTATTCACAGAACTCTGCCATTTAGCTAAGCTAATGAACCAATTGGATTTTCATTTCTTTGGCTCTTATGTTATGCTTGTACTTTCCATCATCTTCAACTTGGATAAAATCTTAAGTTTTTATTTTTTTATATTAATTTAGCACATTTGAGTGCTTGGTATGTTGCCATGCACTTCCAGGTACTGGAAACAGAGCAGGAAACATACCTGTTCCTGTGGAGTTCTATTCTAACTGGACAAAAAGGAAAATGAGCAAAACTTATGCCCAACTAAGGGATAAGGAGAAAAAGCTGGGGCAAAAGATTAACAGCACAGAAGGGACTATAATTTAAAAATTATCAGGGAGGAACTCACTAAGGTCTAAGACCTGAAGAGTAAGCCATGTGGGGGCGCCTGGGTGGCTCAGTTGGTTAAGCGACTGCCTTCGGCTCAGGTCACGATCCTGGAGTCCCGGGATCGAGTCCCGCATCGGGCTCCCTGCTCAGCAGGGAGTCTGCTTCTCCCTCTGACCCTCTTC